TTGATCCTTGCATTGTTACTTGTCCTTTCATTGGGTATCCTGAGAGATCATTTGGTTACAGATTTTATAGTCCCTCTATACCTATGGAGATTGTTGAGACCAGTCATGCAAAATTTATTGAGAATGACGAATCCAGTGGGAGTTTGGATCATCGTACTTTCTCTTTTACAGAGGAGCAATCTTCTGTGCCTATTCCATTTACTACAGATTTAGTTCCAACTTCAGTGATTCCATTCAGAGCTCCTAGTCCCACCCCTTCAATTATTCCTCATATGCAGCCTCTTGCTTCAACTTTTAATCCACTTTATGAGCCTGATCAACTTAGAAGATCTTCTAGAACTCGGAGATCCACTATACCTGATGTTTTTGAGGTGTATGTTAGTGAGGTTGACATTAGCGATCATGAAGATCCAACTTCATTTAATAATGCCATGGAGAATCATGAATCTTCTAGTTAGATAGATCTATGAAAGATGAAATGCACTCTATGGATGTTAATGGGGTGTGGGAGCTTGCTGACTTACCTACAGATTGCAATGCGGTGGAGTGCAAATGGGTCTTTAAGACCAAGAGGGATTCACTTGGAAATGTTGATAGATATAAAGCTAGATTGGTGGCTAAAGTTTTCAAGCAGAAGCCAGGTGTTGATTTCTCTGAGACTTTCTCTCCAGTTTCATCAAAGAATTCTTTAAGAGTCATTCTTGCTATTATTGCACATTATGATCTTGAGTTGCATCAGATGGATGTGAAAATAGCATTCCTTAATGGAGACCTTGAGGAAGAGATATACATGTCTCAACCTGAACGTTTTGTGGTTAAGAGACATGAACATCAAGTGTGTAAATTAAATAAATCAATTTATGGGCTCAAACAAGCTTCACGACAGTGGTACTTGAAATTTGATGAAGTGATTACTAGCTATAGGTTTAAGGAGAATGTTGGAGACAAATGCATATATCTCAAGGTCAGTGGGAGTCGTTTTATTATTCTTGTTTTATATGTTGATCATATCTTACTAGCTAGCAATGACATTCTTGCAATACATGATACGAAGAATTTTTTATCAAGTCATTTTGATATGAAGGATATGGGCAATGCTGAGTTTGTCTTGGGTATTAGGATCCATAGAGATCGCACGACAGGCACACTTGGTTTATCTCAAAAGGTATATATTAATAAAATTTTAAAAACTTTTGGGATGGAAAATTGTGCACCTGGTGAGGTTCCAGTTGTTAAAGGGGATATTTTTTCAGAGGAACAATGTCCTAAGAATGAGATTGAGAGAAGTAAAATTGATGTCACCGCATACGCGTCTGCAGTTGGAAGTCTGATGTATGCTATGACATGCATTAAACCAGATATTAGTTATGTGGTTGAGATGCTTGGAAGATTTCAGCAAAATCCAGGTATTGCTTATTGGAAGACTGTGAAGAAAGTTTTGAAGTATCTTCAGAGAACAAAAGAGTTTATCTTGGTGTACAGGAAATCAGATTGTTTGGAGATAGTTGGTTATTCTGATTCGGACTATGCAGGTTGTTCAAGTAGTAGAAAATCCACTTCTGGATATATTTTTATGTTGGCTCAGGGAGTTGTATTATGGAAAAGCTTTAAGCAATCTATTATCACAGATTCAACTATGAATGCAAAGTTGATCAGTTGTTATGAAGCGACCAAACGTGCTATGTGGTTAAAACAGTTTATTGCGGATTTAAAGGTTGTGGACTCTATACACAAGCCTTTGATAATTTTTTGTGATAATGAAGCTATCACAAAATATGTGAAAAATGAAAAATTGACCAAGCGTAATATGCACATAGATGTAAAGTACCTTTACGTGTGCGAGAAGGTTAAACAAGGTATTATTGAGGTTCCCCATATAGATATAGAAAGGATGATTGCAGATTCTCTCACTAAAGGTCTTCAGCCAAAAATATTTAAAGAGCACGTGATTTGGATGGGTATTCAAGAGTTATTGTGTTATGATGTCTGATTTCTCTATTACATCATGTTACATTGCAGTTATTTCTTTTAGTTTATTTATATCTTATGGTGACAGTTATTTGCATGAAAATAAAGTTATGATACATCATTATTATTATTATTACATTGTTGTATATGATATGTGCACGTGTTATTCTTGTTGCCTGAGAGTGGTGTTGCATTTATGAAGTTGTTTGGGCTAGATGTGAAATTGGCACCACATTGGTAAATCCAAACATAACTACTAAAGTTTGCCTGTGGGAGTGTTAACGCTCTATGAGAATAGCTTGGGCTAGATATGAGATTGGCTCCATATCGGTAAACCCTCACACTGAATAGAAGATTGGCGGTTTGCTGTAATATGTCCAGGTGACATACCGCGATGGTATAAAGCAGGACGGATAGTAAGCTGTGCGTTTAGACCACATGCAGTTTGCATATCTCATGAAATACAGTAGAAACCACTATATTTGCTTGAATCCTAGATAGAATCGGTTTTGAGACCATGGAACTGTTTAGACTAATATATTACTTGTCTACGCATTCATGATCCACTATTGAGGAAATTTATGGAGGAAAGTGTTCTAAAGTTTCAATCCATCAATTTCGATAATTGTGTTTTCTAAATAAAAATGAGTGGCCACTCGAGTTTTATAAAGTGTGTTGCGATCCATAGTGTCATTTTATAAAACTTAGAGTGCATGGACCAAGTAGGAGATTGTTGGAATTTATATATATATATATTTAAATAATAAAAATTATTTTATGGTCCTATGCACTACGTTTCATAAAGTAAGATTGTAATGTGATTATTGATACTTGATGGATTGAGTTTGTACTTTCCAATTTGGTGGTCTAATTGGGAGTATGGTTTTATACCGTTGGATTGTGATTTTCCAACTTATTTGGTGTGATTTATTTCTAACCATTGATATCTAAGTTTCCATGATAGAAAGGGAGATTTAGATATGCTTGTTTGAAGAGAAGCCGTCCCTCCCTGTTGTTGTTATACATAGGGGTTTAAAACCCTTATTCAACTTTCAGAAGGGGATAAAGCGCTCTATTTTTTTGGATTTCTCAAAGGGCGATAAAGAATTCTCAAAGGTATTTCAAGTTTAATTTTCTAATCAGGTATGAGATCAAAACCTCTCTTTTAATTGATGATCAATTTTTAATTTCTACTTGTTTTTCGGTTTTTAAAACCCAACAGTAATAACTACTGGCACAATACTGAGTGCATATATAATATATGTTGTGCTATTTTGTATTGTCATAATATCTATCCATTTATAGCAGAAAGTAGTAACACTTCAATTACTATTTTCTGCTATAGATAGAAAAATATTGGAGGTACGAGAATTTAGTATCCAGTCAATAGAAAATTGTAATTCCTATTATAAGGAAATGAGAAATTTTCATTGGCTTGGTACTGTACCGGGAGCCGGAGGATTTTCTGATACATATTATTACAATGCAAACAAGCACAAAGCCCATGCACATGATATCCTTCCCCGTCTTTTGTCATATATGCACACAATATTGAGCCAGTATTTATTGAACTTAGAAACAGTGGATGAAGCTTCAAGAAGTAGACCTCTCAGAGCTACTTCAAGCCCTAAGCCAAAACTCAAACAGCCACGACAACGAAGCCTCACTGGTTCAACTGGCTGAGAAGACAATCCAACACTTTCAGGACTACATAGACAAGCGAAAGGAGCTTGCCTGCGGAGACATCACTGCCTTGTTTTCACCCACTTGGTGCTCCTCACTGGAGAAGTCTATGTCATGGGTTGGTGGGTGCAGACCAACTTCATTCATCCGACTCGTCTACGCACTTTGGGGGTCGAATGTGGAAACCGAACTCACCGCCTTCCTCCAAGGAGGCAGAAGGAGAGGTGACCTCCGTGAGCTCTCTGGGAAGCAACTTCACATGGTGAGTGCTTTACAGATGAAGACAATCCTAGAAGAAGAGCAGCTGTCCAGGAAGTTGGCGAGCGTGCAGGAAGGCATAGCCCTTGGCCAGGATTGTGCAGGAGCTGAGTCCACCCACTGAGTTAAACGGTGTCACGGAGAAGGCTCTCGACGATCACGCACGGGGCATGCCGGAACTACCGGAGGAGGCCGATGGGCTGAGGCTGAGTACGTTGAAGGAGCTGTCAAGTATATTGACACCAATTCAAGCCGTGGAGTTTCTAGCTGTGACCAAGAAGCTTGAGCTTTGCGTCCACCATTGGGGTAAGCAGAGAGACAGGAAACATGCTTAATTTCTTAGTTCCTACCATGCTTCAGAGGCTTTATTTATTTATTATTTATTATTTATTATTATTTATTATTATTATTATTATTATTATTTTTTTTTTTGTATCTCTCAAGTTATGTTTTAGTGTATGTAAAGAATTTTGTATATCTCAAGAGTTTGCTTTCGTATTGTATAGTCCTGCAGCTAAGTTGTTTAGGTTTGTATCTCTATAGTCCATATGTGTTTGAATGAAGAAGTTTTTAAGAACAATTTATCAATTTTTATCAGGGAGAAAGAGAAACTAGAGACATCCCATCGTCTCTGAGTCCATTGATCTTCCACAAATATATATATATTTATACACAGAGACTCAAGTTAGTCTAATTAGAGGGGCAAAAATTTTGTGGATGTAATAAAAAGTTAAAAATTTCTTAATAAGCCCAAAAAAAATAAAAATAAAACACCCTCGAATATCCTTGATCATGAGACAACACTTGATATAGTTGTTCAATGTTTGATAATAGAATTGGCTTTCACTGGGTGGGTTCTATTCATGTAGACGATAAAGCCACAGTACTTTTATATATCAAGTAGCTAAAAATGTGGCAACCAGAATATGAAGGCCAACAGTACCTAAGCTTTATTGCTAAAATTGCCACAGCCCTTTAACTGGAAAATGAGAAAGATTGGGACCAAATATTAGAAGGAACACATGGAACCAAGTATGATATTGCTATGATCAAAGATTACAACAAAATCCAATTTCAGAACTACAACAGAATTTCGAGCACAAACAACAGTCTGAATTATATCAAAACATATACAAGGGTCTACATTTTACAACGATCTATATTAAAAAAATAATGTTCAATATCGAGATATTCACTGCAGGACTTGAATCTTAATTTTACATACCAAGCTTTGATCACAAAATTACATGTATGGGGTATAAAATGTGGGCGCGGGCAAGGCGCCACACGTATTTTATGGTAGGAAGTGAGGAAACAATAGGGGAAAGAATTAAATAGAATGAATCATCCCAACAACATGAAGAGAAAGAGAGAGAGAGACAAAATATAGAGTTAAACACGAAATATTGATACAAAGGGAGAGTCACTCGACTGACATTAACATAGAAAACACAGTAACTTAAGTTGCCTCTGCAGATAGGATCTCAAGTTCAGCCCACCAAAGGGGAGAAAGTCTTGGTGTCGCCGCATCAGGTGACACAGCAATTACTTCCCTAAGTTTGGAAGTGACTTCCTTCATAGTTGGTCTCTTTCTTGCATCCTGTTGAATGCAATCTTGGATTACCTCGCATATTACGTCAAGCTCGTTGTTTTTGAAGGACTTCAAGGTAGGATCAATCATGTAGCTGATGCTCCGCGTGTCATTCAGGTATTCAGCGGCCTGATAATTTCATAATAATTTGTTTAGGTAGAACTATGTAAGAACTTCAATACCATAATACCAATCTATCGAAAAAAAGCACAAAAAACAAAGGGCGGTTGAAAATGGAGATACCGAGATACTATATTTGAAGCTTACCCAGTTCTCAAGAGGACCTTGTTCTTCTGAGTTGGGGAGCTTCCCAGAAATGATTTCGAGCAACAATATTCCAAAACTATAGATATTTGTTTCTGGATCAGCATGTGATGGCAGTTCAGAATGCTCCGATTCAATTTCTCCTGAGATCCTTGATTTTGGTGCATCTTGTTTTGCAAAACAGATCTCTGCAATCTGAAAATGCAGAGAAATATTTTTCTTAATGTTATACAAGAATTAAAAAAAACATGAAGCCTGTCAAAGAATAGTATGAAAAACCTACTTTAGCAGCATAGTCGTCCGTCAGGTAGATGGAATTTGAAGTCAGGTTTGTATGTGCCACGGGAGGATTCAGGTCATGCATGTATTGAAGACAGTAAGCTGTACCCATGATTATTCTCACCCTCGCATTCCAGTCCAGATGTTCAACTTCTTTCACTGGAAAAACAAACAAAAACCAGGGGTTGCCTCTCAAAAGATGAAGCCTCCAACTTTACTCAAGTCACCACTACTGAAGGCAAATATGACTAATAATTACCGTGTAGATGCTCAAAAAGGGTTCCATTTGGAGCATACTCGAACACCATCATTCTAGCAAAAGGTTCTTCCTCCTCACAGTAGCCAATAAGATTAACAAAGTTCTTGTGGTTTACTCGTGACAGTGTATCGATCTACAGAAAGTAGAGAATGAACAAAATTAAATGAAATTCAAGAACATAAAAGTGGAGCAGATAAATTACGGCATGCATTGATTGACATGGTTCATAGTCCACACCAAGCTGAATTTCTTTTGACAACCAAAACAACAGACCTTTCTACGGTATGTCATTTCTGAACTCTTTGACCAGTCTTTAATAGAAGTTGTTCTGGTTGATAGAACTGCAATCTCAACTCCACTTGATAGTGTCCCCTTGTATACAGTGCAGGCATGACGAGTTTCGGTAATGTTGCTGAAATCCTCACAGGCTGTTTCTAGCTCTGCTCGGTTCAGTTTTGGAACCCCTGCATGTTTTAATTATACATGTGATTCAGTCTTCGTCAGATTGTGAATAAAATGATACCATGGGCATCCAGCCAACGCAAAAATATTGGGATGTTACTAGAATGAAGCCAAGTGAATTCAAGTGATGAGTAATTCTAGGCTGGCTCAGGAATCAGCTAAGATCTTAAGTGATGAGTAATTGAGTACTGTATAGCATTAAGAAGTATAAATCCATCCCCAACATGTGGCTGTTGTAGGAAATAGAGACCATCACGCAATTAATTGTTAAGATGTTTTAGGTTTTCAAGATACAACACTTCCAATTCTTAAAAAACTTGATGAGAGCTGCCATTTTCTACAACGCCCCTGTTCACTGTGATGGATTTCTAACTTCAAATCTCATGTACAACACAACTCTGAGCAGTTTAATTTCCATGGGATATGCAGACATGCCATAATAGTTCTTCAGGCATTATTTAAAATATTGGGGTTGACAACTAGTGTTGATATCCAGATAAACCAATCATTTTGCCCAAGTCATGTACAATATTCCACCTTCCTCTGTTTCCTACTTATGTATGGTGTAGGGTTGAATCAATCACCAGGACAACTGGCCAGGTCAGAGCGGAAATTGTATACAGCTTAGCACTGTTTATATATATATATATTCTCCCGAAAGTTAAAGCAAATGCACACACACCCACAATATATAGCAATTTTTTGTATTACATGTAGCAATATTACCTGTAACAAATGCTTTCTGCAACTGTCCACTCAGTCCAGTCTTCCAAGGACCTATAGTTGACACTGCCCGTTTTCGACACATTAAGACCATTACTGCAGCGACAACTAGCAAGAGAAGCACAACTAAAATCACGACTATATATTTCCAAGAATTTCCAGCAGCTGTAGGCTGTTTAGAATCTGTATTTTCAATAGAATCAGTATTTTCAACAGAATCAGTAGACTGGCCATCAGAGTTTGATGTTGTTGCTGGAGGAAGTTGTCCCTTCTTTCCTTTTGGCACAGCAGGGAAGGACCCACTACTTCGGGTAGTTGGAAGAGAAATTGTCTGTTCAGGTGGTGGTGGAGGACCGCCACTAGCGGGGGCAGCAGCGAGGTTACTGGACTGTTGAAGCAGTCTACGCCTTACCATATTAACTAGGTTCTGTACATTTTGGACTATGTGTGCTTCGGGCGGATCTACTGAAAGCAAGAACCAATGTCATTTCTCTCAAAAGCATAAACTGGGATGCTCTAGGATCCAAGACTCAACATACTGTTTCTACTTACTATATAAATTATCATAGCAATTATATGCATCACTGTGCAAGGAGGAGCGCTTTCCAAACTTGAACCTTGAAAGAAGAGCATATACTTTCCATAAATAAACTATACTGAGAAAACATATGATTGATAAACGAAAGTAAAATTAAGAGTGGTGAAAGATATTGATTCCATACAATGGAAACACATTGAGGTAATTAATAAGTGCATCTTTAATCGGGATTAGGAAGGAATCTGCTTTCTTCAGTTGTTTCAAACTACTCTGCCAGATGCTGTCCAAAAAGCATTAAAAGATCAGAAAAGAAGACAACTAAGATATATGCTTAGTCGAACAGTAAAAATCCAAAGAAAATAGAAAACAAGAAGGAAGTTTGGTTAATCCCTCATAATTAGAACATTAATTTAGAAAATTAATAACAAAGAGCGAAGTACATTCAAATAGGAGCAACTAAAATCACTTGAGAACAAGAGTCACTCTATAAATGACTTCAGCTGATGCTGATACATAATAGACTTTTCAATTTAGGAGAGTTGGGTGGACTCTCTCTCAAGTTGAGTAGCTCAAACAAATATTTAATATGACATTTAATTTATTGATTACAAACTGGAGAGGACATGATTTCAAAATTTAACAAACTCTCCTCTTTTCTCCAAACTTGGAATTGGCTATGTAAACATAACGCAATAAGCATTACATAGCAAGAGCATACAGCCAAAACTGAAAGTCAAATTTTATAAAACAACTATTAGACCAACGGTATTTTACAAGATAGAATATTGGGTGGTTAAGAAACAACATTCATAAAACAAAGTGAGTGCATCAAGAATGTGAATCTCGAGATGGAAATGTTGAAAGACAAGAAAGGGTGACTTAAGATTTTAGAGTAGATGGTAATCTACATTGTATCAAAACAGGAAAGATCCTAAGTTCAAACCTCACTATCACTTAGGAAATTGTAACTCTTAAAGATAACACACGAAAATCTGACCATATGTGAGGGAGCATGTTAGAATGTATAAATTCTCAAGTTACTAACTTTAATTTTATCTTTCTTTACAACTATACTAATCAAATAAAAAGTCTTCACAATTATATTTTATCCATGCTAAAAGGAAGTTATATCTTCCAAGGTTTTTTGGTCAAATATTAACAAATGTCAAAGAAATATTGGCCACCTGTCCTACATTAATAATTTTAAATTTTAAATTATGAGAATGTAAAAATTGTATAGGACACATGTCCAGGGATATCTGACAATTCTCGGTGTTTGAAACATGTCCAATGCCACGGCCCTTTAAAATGTCATAGTTATAACTTTTTTCAAACATGTCAATCACGGCGTTGATGTGCAAAATGGCATACAAATGTAGCAAAGGACCAGAATATCAACAGAGTCCAAAGGAATAAAATATCTTACCAGTGTCCAAATTTTCTATTTACACAGCCGATCCCAGCATCCACAGCAAATGTAAGGTTTTCGTCAAATTGCAATTCGGAAAGGAAATTGAGCTTTGCAAGCTCCTGAGGAATGCTGCCTTCAAAGTTGTTGTTACAAAGTAACCTGGAGTATAATATGAATATTAGTCCAGCCACATGGGATTTACAGCCTACATAATAAAAAATTGAAATCCCTGAAACCAATTAACCAATGGACTCACAAGCGCCTTAGTGACTGCAGTCCCCCTATTTCTGCTGGAATAGTTCCACTTAAGATGTTATCCCTCAAGTCCAATACCTCCAACATTGTAAGCCTTCTGATCTCTTTAGGAATGCCACCAGAAAACCGGTTTTTGTAAAGTACACTGTTAATGCATAAATAGGACACATAACCAGAATAATTCATAAGCTTTATAAAATACCCAGTAGCAGATCTATACAATCATGGGGATTCATATCAAGTGACATTATCTAACAAAGAAAATTTGTAAATGTCAAAACATTTACCTGAAAGATATTAAAACAGATAAGCTAATATTGTCCAAATATGTTGTAGTTAAGTCCACAAAATCAACAAAACCTGATTTGTTTTTGTTTTTAAATATAGATGAATTAGTTGAAATAAAGTGTCCTCAGGTTATGTGTAACGGTGAGGGACAAGCCTGAGTTTAAAACTATATCATGCACTCTTCACCACAGCAAATTGAAAAGTGATTATAAATTCATAATTGCCACATAGTAAGGTTCATTATTGCACATATTGATATCCATACCAGGTATAGTTATTATAATTAGAAAGCCTAGCTGCATTATTATTGTTTTTTGAACTTCAACCAGATCGGAATTGGATCAATTATCTTTTTCAGAATTAACCTATGTCTTCAACATAGCTTCAATATGAATTGGTATACGAATGGTTAAAATAGATTCACATTTGCGAAATTGTATCATATTTAAGTGTATCAAAAGTTAGTCAAGCTAATATTAGAAGACATCTGGAAGTTCTACTGTTACACTACACAGACAAATGTGCAATTATGCAATATCATTTCACTCGATATACATAAAGTTTAAGGCTGTAATATAAATGCAAAAAGAGTTAATGCTCTGTGCCTGAGATAGATATCTTCCTTTGAAGTGTCATGTGTCCTACACCTGGGCCTGCTTTACTAGTAGGCCATAAAGATTATTGTCTAAGGCCCCATGTGGAAATCAATGCATGTCAAAAGTAACAAGAATGAATTTTAAATCAAAATAAGTGTTAATTAATGTTACTTATACTAACTTATTAACAATAAAAAATGCCTCATTTTAAAGATTTTTCCTTAGGCCTTGCTTTATATTGAGCCAGCTTTGTCCTAGATACCAACCACTAAGTCAGCTCTATTTCATGGCAAAGATGCTATGAGGGGGAAACAAAAAAAAAAAAAAAAAACTTGACACAAGACAGTTGAGATGTATCACATCAGAAATGAGGACATAGAAAATACTAATAATATGGGTATCACTCCAGTGGTCTGTTAAAATGATGAGAAGCTGGCTAAGATAGTTTACATATGTAAGTTGATGACGAATAATAGCACCAGCTGTTAATAGGAATGATTACATTGCTATGAGTTGAGACAGTTCTTTTGAGGAAATCTAGGGGAAGGAGAAATATGAAAAATTAAAATGGCCGGAATTGCAGAAAGAATATAGGTGTAGTGGTCCAATGATCCCATCTAGATGTAATAATGCAATCAATATTAAGATAACAATGGCAAGGATGGTTTAGAAAGAGGTTAACCTATATAATTGTGGTGTATGCCTATCACAAAGGCTCATAGTTGTCCCTTGTATATCTTAACCCATAAGAAGTAGTGTTTAGTTTTATGTCTTCTTTCACTCTTCGAGATGCAGTAAGCATAATCCTGAAAGGTACTCAGCCCTCATGCTTGTACATTTAGCCTAATTAAACATCAAAATCGATGCTTAATACCTTTTCTACCACATAAATTATACAAAGAATCACTATTTGATTCTTCTTCGTAGATAGACTATTTGACACTTTAGGTTTTGCCAACACCTTCAAATTCCATGTGTTGGGGTTTTAAATAATCAGTAAGCAGATAGGTCAAGAAGCTTAGCCGGAGTTAAAAAAAAGAAAATAAAAAGAACACCAAATTGCAAATATAATGTAAATCAACATATTCATTACTTACAGAGATCTTAGGTGAGTGAGCGTCCCAAGCTCAGGGGCTAGTACCCCTTCCAAATGATACCCTTTGAGATCCCTACACACAAAAGCAAATAACAAATTCCCATTCAAATAATGCAACACTATGAACAGACTTGCCTACAATGAATAATACATCAACTCACATGCAGGGAACTAAAATTTTGAAATCAATGTGACTAAAGAAATTTGAAAAAAATACCAAGAGCTTAGTCTAATAAGTAGTATTTCCTTCTCATTCCAAATGAAAAGTTCAGGGTTTGAGTCCCCAACGGGACACAGTGGGTGCGTGTGTGACTTACCTACCAAAAGAAGGAATTTGAGAAAAATAACAAGCACTCACAGCATTTGTACTTTGCCATCGACACAATAAACACCTGACCACTTGCATGGGTCACTATCATTAGGATTCCAATTTGCGAAAACACTATACGGATCACAATCCACTTTTGCCCGGAATTCCAACAGTGTCAGTCCTGCAATTCCATTTTAATTGCAATCAATAATAGAAATCAATAATGTTTGACAAATAAATTCAATGCCATTATAGGAGCTATCAACAATGTGAAGAACAAATCACCTTCAGAATTAAGAGACCAACATCCTTGAATTTCCAGAACAAGAATCAATAGCATAAAATGTAACAACTGGACTCCGTAGGTGTTCCATCTATCCCTCATTGCTCGAGAAATCCTAAGTCGCAGTGCTTGGGCCGCAGACAGCCAGGACTCTATTCAGAATCGCCAGGTTTTTATATTTATATTTATTTTTGCCAAACACCCCCTTCTGAGATTTCTCAGACGCTTAACAGATTGTAAAATTACAAGAGCAATAATAATAATAATAATAATATGTATATATTGACACACAATTCACTACCAAGGCAAAAACTATAGTACAAAGAAACGAAAATTCATCAGCCTCTTGTAACCAATGAGCAAATTGGGGTCCCTCATCTTTCTAATTTTTTTGTTTTAGGTTATAATAACTCCCTCAATTGCATAACCTAGCTCAAGAAATTATCTCCAATGTTCAACCAGAGCTGCAAATTTCACACACGCACAAAAAAAAAAAAAAAAAAAATGTTAACAATCTGAAGAAAGTCAAAAGATCCCAAAGAAGAGTAATTCACAAGACACAACACAAAAGAATCAAAGAATACCCTCCTGATCAAGCAATCTAAGAAAAAGCAAAAGGGTATGAAATGTTGAGAAAAAGATAAAAAAATTACCAGAAAGAAGAGGCAAGAGAGCAGTCAATGATATAATATACGTTGTTGTTGTGTTGATGGTGATATGTATAATTTTCTCGGGAAATTATATTTAAAAACAAATCTTGAAGAAAATGACAGTTAGGAGGGATTGTTAAAACTCAAAAAGGCAGCAAGGAAAAAATAATAATAAAAATTAGGGTTCTGGTTTTTCTTGGCTGCCCTTTTCAGGATGATCTCAGAGGAGAAACCTCTCTTCGACCATCTTCTCTGAAGGAGGAGACAGCTTTCTCTAGATTTTCTCTCTCCAACCTTTATTTTTTTTTCTTTTTTTCTTTTTTTTTTTTTTTTTCTCTCTCTCTCTAACCCTTACGCCAGGGACACCACAGACCACTCCCACAAACTGTGTGTTCTGTTTTCTTCTTGTTTCTTTTCCTCAATTTTATTTTTTATTTTTTTCTGGTGGTCCCAATTTCTTGGTTTTTCTGTTTTATTAGTTTTGGGGTGGGCCCACAGTGTCACCGCCGGCAGCGATCGGTAAGTGAATAACTGTCACCGGCGGTGACGGCGGCATTGTCATTCCCGCGGTTTAAATGAGTGGTGGTGAGGACCCCCACTTCCGATGTAATAGGACGCGCTTTTTACATTCATGCTCTCACGTTGATAGATCCCTCTCTCTCACTTCCCGAGGGTACGTGCGAACCTCTTAGTCTTCTCTCCTAAATTTCCTAATATCCAATACAGTATTAAATTAAGAAAATACTACAACTTAAGTTGGCTGTAAGACTTTCAGCAAATGCTGGGATTCAGATGCATGTTAAATCTTTATTGTGAATTTGTGGTACACATAGTGTGTGTATGCCAGAAATTGTTATATGTTCGGAATTATATGGTCATATTGCACATCTATTGTTGGACAAGTGAAAAAAAAAATTTGTGAAGAAATTATGTAAGCATTTGTTTATACCAGTGTGGTTTGAGTTAACAAAATTACGAGTTACATATATATATATGCATTCGAAAAATATGAAGAAAAAAAAAATGGATATACCGACTAAAATCTATGCGATCAAAAACAAATTAATAATAATAATTTTAGAAATACAAACACTTTTAACTTGTTCAAGAGTAATGGCAAACATGATTCAGACTTTCTTTAGTTTGAAAAAAAGAAAAAAGAAAAAAAAAGTGGTATCTAAAAAATGTATCATAGATGTTTCTTAAACTTGCCATGGTAAGACTATTGCATCTATAGAAAGGATAAAGATAAAACAATTGTAAATGGTTCACAGTTGCAGACAAAATGAACTTATGTCCTCTATCGATTGGAGTACAATATAATAATACAATAAAAGTGAATTTATTGTAATATTTTCAGACCAAGGAATACAAGTGTGGACCTATTTAATTGGCTAGGTTGCCTTGGTTAATAGGATAATGATAGTATAACAATTTTGTTACGCCAGCCCATTTCCATGAGACAATTCTGTCTTAGATTTTCATCTCTGAAGAGCCTCAAGAGAAGTCAGAGAAGCTGCAAAAGAAGTGCAAGCATTTAGAGAAAAAAGTTTACTTTCAAAGCATCATTAATTATGAATGCAACAATTGGAACATATCAGAATGTGGGAAAGATTCATATAACCAAATAGAGTAAAATTTAGTGACGTTCAGAGGCCAAAAATTGGAACATCAATTCATTTGTTCTCTCCATGGCTTCAATCAGACTCCTAATGGCGAAAGCAATCAGACTAGAACTGACATGATGATAGGAGTTCGTGATTATATCATAAACTTAAACGAATATGAAATCTAGCATATTTAGGAAAGACACCACAAATTACACATACTAATTGTATAAAATAATGCATATATTTAGGAAATCTATTATAGACATTGTTTCAAGGTAAAGCTTAGTAGGTTGCATTCTGTTACTCCCTCCTCTCCCTCTCAATCATCAATTTCAACATATATGAACATAGAGGCTGCTGTGCATACACTTGATCATGGAAGACTCTTCAAGTTTTGCATGCCTAAAACTAGAAACCTGGATGGATATTGACATACAACTGAAAATCATCCCAACAGACATATGACATTTTTGTTCAACAAAAGCCTAATATGATAGAAAAGGGGCTTTTTATTTAACAGCTAACTATTCTAAAATATTAAACTGATAGGGGAGGTATGATTCTATTTATCTCAACACTACCCCTCACTTGTTGCCCCTCTTGAACTCTCTCTCATTTGTGTCACTTCATGAGTGGTAAGTCCACGTATATACGGAGGTCGTGAAGCTTAGTTTCACTTATGCAGACTCAATGTTACTAATTAACTCCTCTAAAAGCTTAAGCTAATGGATGACTGAACTTTGTTTCTCTGAATATTAATCTGTTTTCCCAGGGAGGTTGTACGGTTTGACCTCAGGACCTTTTCACTATGAGACCATGTTAACAACCAATTACTCTAAAAGCCTAATATGATAGAAAAGATGAAAGTCTAGAAATTTCAACATAATTGCCCAGGCACTAGTTTCTAGCCACCAGTGTTATAGATTATCTAGGTTTCATATGTTGAAAATTGTCCAAGTACTCAAATCAACTTTGTAAGAACAGAATGTATATGATAGTATTTTCATCTTAGCTGATATGAATTCTTCAGAAATTGATTAATATTTGAAGCTTGAAGGTTAAAGAATTAAGATACACAGATGAAAACATGAGAAAAGGAAAATGATCCAAAATAAGCTGAATAATGTTTGACCCACATACTATTCTGCCTAAATTGCTTCTCAGGAAAGCATCCTGAAAGAATTTGTTATTTCACACAAAGTATGCATTTGACAGGATATGTAAATTCGTAAGGAAGCAACTTTCATTCACAACAAAGAAGGGATATTTGATTCATAAACAATTTTTCAGCAGTGAAACAAAGAAAGACACCAGTGACCAAAAGATCAGTTGCTGCAAAGAATACAAAAAATGAACTTAGTGTCACTTATACAGATGTAAGATAAAAATGAAATCCAGATTATCAGAGCAAAGACCACATTGTATTCCACTTACCTAATGTAACATGAGTAAAAACAATAAAAAAGAAAAACTAGAAAAAAGTACTTTCCACAGCAAGTGAATTTTAACACCTTTGCAGGAGACATTTCCACTTCTAAGTTTTGATGTGCTGAGAAACATAAGGAATTAGCTCCTGTGAAGAAGAAAGATAATGTTAGTGCCTTTAGTTCACTTACCTGCAGATCTTATACAATGAAATAAGTATGAAAAAAAAAGTGTTGAGATTACCTCAGAACAACGTACATGATCACAATGCAAATTATAAGTTTTCACAATGGTTTCCCACTTGGTATCATTGGAGAAAGTGTTGGAACACTGCCTTTTAGGATGAAACTGGCTGCCAGATTGTAAATTTGAAAATGAATTCTGTGAGGAAATGGAAGGCAGGGCACGCCAAAGCCAAGACTCAGCAGGAGATTTTGGTAAAGGCGGCGGAAGCAGAGACTGTAAAGAGCCAACATTAGAATTTTCCAAGCCATTTTTCAGTTTTTGTTCACTTGTCATATCTAGGTTTCCATTGGTATGCACTTTTGAGGATCCCAACTTTTCCAAGGACAGGGGTTCCTGATTCAGAATTTGATCTGGTCTCAACCTTTCTGTTCCTTTTGCTTGTTTTAGATCTGATGTGTGAAAGGAAGGAGATAGATCACCATTATTAAACCCTGAAGCTTTAGTACTCGGTGTAATGCCTCCCTCCAAATTAATCAGGCATCTCATATCTTGAACAGAAGATTCGGCTTCAGAAATTCCTTCCATCCGTTTATGATCCACCAAGGTCTCAATAGCATCTCCAGAAGAAGCCATTGGCCCTTTTTCTTCTGAAGAAATGAATTTTACAGTATTCACAGAATCTATGTACAATGTTTTCTCAGTCAAGGGGCTCACTGAATGTGACCCTTGTTTATATCTTTGATGGGATGACACATCCCGAAAGTTGTTAGAGCCTTTGCCACACAATTTGGAGTTTTTAGGCTCAGCATTATCAACTACCTTTGGAACACCAAGAAACCCAGTTCCTTCACAGAAGAGGGACTGAGGTGCAACATTCCGGTATGGGGATATGCCTCTATCCTTGGAACTCTTGTAGGGAGATGACACATCTGTCATATGCAAGCCACCCGAGTCAGTCAACTGATTGGATTTATCAATTAGTTTATTCTCAACCTCAAGCAGCTCATGTGATTGGACTGCAGAAACATGTGTCTTATGACCAGCATTCCAAGCATGCTGCAAAAAGAGTAACAAACAGATCTTAAGTAACAAATGGAAGTCTATACTGGTAAAAAAAAGATATAAAGAGAAGGTCATTAGACACCTTATCAAAAATTTGACTTTGAGGTCCACTATATGCAGTCCTGGTCAGTCTGCTAGCCTCAGTTGAAGACGGCATGGCAGTCCGGGTCCTAACTTTTATTCCTGGCACCGGATTGAAGAGGCACAAAGAATTCTTTAAGCAAAACCGAGGAAACAGCCCACAAGCTTTAGCTGATATATTTCCAGAATCATCATCTTCATCATCAGTTTCTTCATATTGACCATCACAAGGAATGATGATAGATCTGTATTGTTCAAGTAGAGACCACGTTTCCTCAGTGACCACATTTTGAACCTGTCTAGATTGGTCAGTTGCCAAAGGTTGCTTCCTTGGAACACACTGAGGTGTCTTCACAACCATAGCTCGGGCTGCAGGTAGGAAGCGACTCATCATGAAATCTCGTGTTTGTGGGTCAGTGGAGAAGGTTCCACTTGGTCTCACTTCTGGACCATCATACCCACTCAAATTGCTTAAACTACAGTGGAAGGAATTTGATTCTGTTGGTGACAGTGTGTCGCGTGCATCAGAATATGCATCATCCTCGCTTTGCGAATCAGAATCCCCATTTGCATTCAATCCCTTGTTCGAGCTCTCCAACGAAGTTGCATTATCATCCAAAGATGGTGATTTGATATGGGGCCTAATGACATTTTGATCTTCAGATACTTCTTTGGAGAACTGTTTTATGACCTCCAGCACCCTTCTCGGTGGACGTGAAGAATTGGAAGGCTCTTCAGGAGATTGAGACTGGGCACTTGTTCCATCTTTTGGTCTTCCGGGGATCTGCTCCCACGTAAAAGGAACTGCAGCTGGTTTTGTCACCTCACCTAGTTCAATGTCTGGTTTGTACAAAGGAAGAGAATTCCATCTTTTTTGTTTTGAATTCTCAATTGTTGTCCTGTTATCTCCATCTTGAGAAGCCACTGACAAAAGTCGCCGCACAGATAGAAGTGGTATATTCAAATTGAGTTGCTTTTTCTCCATTAGGTCTCACAACTGAGAAGGATCTGTTTGCCCCGCTTTTTAATTCAGTGTTAAACCATTGACTACTATATATAAATGAAAAAAGGGGAAGAGTAAAGAGAAATAAGAGTTTGCAATTTTCCATAATCAGAAAGCAAACAACTACAAAAAATGAATGAAAATGATAATTGTTTAAAAGTTCTCATTCCCAGTTATCTAATCAAACTACAAACACATTGCATAGATACAAAAGAGAGAACATTTGTGTACATTTTACTTCAGAATGGAAAATACATAAACAATAACATTCTAAGTCCAGAAACAATTGATGTTCTCATTTACTAATTACAGAAACCAGTTAATTGATGTTCTCATTTACTAATTAGAAGAAATTACCGTCAATTTGGTTGCTTAGAAACATGGGAAAAAATACTTATAAAAAAAAATAAAAAAACATGGGAAAGAATGAGGAAATTTTAAAACAATAAAATCTTAGCATTCATAATGAAAAGATTAAAAATTATCTTTACTAACTCGGTCAGTTGTAATAGGCTTAATATTTTTAAAGATTTTTATTTCCTCCATTCTTGAACAACAACTGGTCGCAGATTCAATTTTACTGTACTTTCTTCTACATTTCCTATGCATCAAAACAGAGGAATGTCCAATACTCCAATTAATTAAAACTATATATATATATATTAAAAAGTTAAACAAACTCTAAATAAATAATCAAAGAGACAGTTAATGGTATGATCTTAATCCTAAAATTTCTACCCAAAATAGGAACTCCAAGAACATACCGTGGTTAATTCAGGCAGACAATTGGCGATCAAGATTAAATTCCAAATTGTTTCTGAAGGAATAAACCCGTAAAATATTGGATTAATTGTTACTTATCTAGCAAAATGGGATTACAAATAACTCAATTTCATGACTAGGAAATAATAATAATAAAAAGGACTTCAAGAACAACTCAAAATCCTTGATTCTCCACCAAAATGAACATGAAAATCGAAACTTCACAGACCCATAATCAAGAACGTCTCATCAACATAAAAACTTCGACATTGTTGTGTAATCTAAATCACGTCAAGAAAGATGAATAAACGAAAATGAGAAATTCCATACCAGAGAGAGACGGCCACTTCTGGACGTTTGCGGCCGCGAATGATGGCGAGAGTTGAGGAAAGACTGAAAGTAAGGAAAAACGTAGAGAGAGAGAGAAGGAAGGAAAAGTGGAGAGAGAGAGAGAGAGAGAGAGAGAGAGAGTATGTTAAACCCTCGAGCACTATTCTTTTGCTTTTGTGATGAGTGACTGTGTGTGTATAGTTGACGCCGTTGATTATTTTTCTTGTTGGGGAATAAGGGGGCATGCGTCACGGATAAACCGTTTAAGAGATACGATTGAGGCCAACGGTGTTTAATGATTCGCGGCAATCTTCAACAGTGGACCACTTTACCGCCCATTTAATTGACCATTAACTCCATAAGTGCAGATAAATACATGTATGGTCAGTACCTTAAGCATTTACATTCAATATAGCAATTGATTCTTGATTCTCTTGTGTTAATTTTGTATATTACTTTCTCATTTCATTAATAAGCAAAATATTGAATGTATATATTTTTTTTTAACAAAAATAATTGAGTGAGTAAGGACAGGGTGGTGAGGATAGGATGGGGAATTTGAATGGAAATGGGAATGGGGTATGAGGGGTCCTTGCTAAGCTATGTTATGCGGGTGAAAATCACTTCCAGTAAAATATAAAATAGTGTGTCATTTATTTTATTTTGAAATGAGTAGTCCAGAAATGGCCACGTCATCCATGTTTGGCATGCATAGTAGGAAAATATTGGGATGCATAGTAGGAAAATATTGGAATGCTCCTTACGAAAATGTTGAGATGCACTTTTACTTACAAAAATGGAAGAAATGGATTATTGTGCAACTGGAGGTGATCCTTGTCCATGCTATGCTAAGAGAAAATGGAGATGGGGTCAGTTCCAACTTCCAACTGACTCCGAAAAAAAATAAAAAAAAAATGTAAAAGATAAATTTATCTAAATGTATAATTTTCAATCATAAGGTAACATTAAAGGATAAAAAGATTGTTAAATTATCAACATATTGTGTTACATTGGGAAGGATATCAGATATGACTGAATTGTGACAACCAATCTTACTGTCAAACCATTTTTTTCTTTTTCCTTCCAAACCATTTGATTGAGTAGCATTTGGCTTATACTTTTGATTGAAACACAAGTTCACGTTCACATGATGCTTTGAAGTAATATAGTAATATTCAACTTAATATTAAATTTTCATTCTTATTATAATTATTTCTTATTTATATCAAAATTAATGTTATTTTTTAACAATGAACTAACATGCCCGTTCGAGGCAACGTACAAGGAGTATAAGAAAATTAAGTTGCAGATAATTTAATAAGATTCATAACTTCTTAGTATGTTTAGGATTTTTAGGAATATATATAATCAATTAAAGTAATATGTAAATTTAAATGATATGTTGGATGAGTTGAGTACTCCAATTGATAGAAACACTCTTTCAATCGTGTAGAGTCCAGTTTCGACTCTTCTCGATAACATATCATGATGTCAATATCTACTTCTCGCATGCTACTATTCATTACATATGGCCTCAAAGTGACTTTATTCTCGACTATGGTTTAATGTCAATGTCTACTTCTCGCATGCGACTATTCATTACATATTGCCTCCAGTGACTTTATTCTTGACTATGGTTTAATCAAGTGGGATTTTTCTTTTTCAGAAAAGGTGCCTACCTACGCCCCAATTTTAGAATTAAACATTGAGCAAAAGACAACCATGTCAGCTTTATAGCATGCCAAAATTTACGGATGTTTTTTTGACTTTCGCGCAAACCAAATACGTTTAGGGCTAATTCATCTGTACTCTACATGTATATCAGCATTTTGTTTTCTTTAACGATTAGGTAGTGTCATTCCCTCAACAAGCTTATCACATGTATCACGAGCTGAGGATTAGGACCCCTCTTGTTCACCCTCTGGTCTCCTGTGTTTCAAAATTATATCGTTTTGAACCACAGGTACGGTCTCCATGCAACTTGCTTTGAGCTCCATACTGTGCATTTGGTACACAGGACCCTCCCAATTGAGATAGAATTCACTTCCAATGAGATCATATCTCTCTTAAATTATCACATTTTAAGCACAAATAGTAATACATGAATCACATCTCCCGTTGCTCATAATAAATTCTTTCCATAAAAAATTAAAACATAAAACATAAGTATATATACAAAAAAGTTGAGAGATGATAATTGGATAAAATATCTCCTGTCATGAGTAATCTGAGTTTTCTCACCTACCCATGTGACATTGTTTTGTTTCCAATTATCATCTTTTCAAGCAGGTGTCGTGTAAAAAAAATAAAAATAAATAAAGTACCTCAATGGATTAACATTTCCATTATCCATCTGTTCTATATGTTAGCCATGTGAAGATTGAAAATAGATTAAAGATTTGTGCTCTCTCAATCACATTAGATATTATCTGACCACTTGTGCATAAGGTCTTTATTCGAATTACTGGATGCATATGGTTCTCAAGGCTCAATCATTAGCCATGCCTGTTCGATAGGTGACGAGACATACAGCAAATGAAATACAGATTTCTTGTATTTCTAAATTTCCAGAATTTCATTTGTTCGCGCTCTCTTTTCTTGGCAATTGAACAGACTGTTGAGTCATTTTGGCAATCCACATTGAATCTTAAACAAGTTTGTTTATAAAACCTCATTGTTATTTCAACTTTCAAGCTTAAAACTGTGGAACAATTACACATGGTACTTATAACATGCCCTTTTATAGTCTTTACAAGGCCTTGACAACGACGCTGAAAATGGTTTGAACCTTATGCTGCAAGCTAGAATTAACAAATCAAACATAGATGTAATCAATGATAATTCTCTTTCCAGACAAGGTCTGGAGAAAAAATCACATATTCCCCCATTTTTAACTGTTTAAGGTTCTGCTTACAGCATAAGTTCAATGTCTAATAGAACCTGTGTTCTAAACAATACCAAAAAAAAAATGTCCAGCCTGGGACAAAAGAAAATAATGGAAGTGACAACAAACCTTCAAAGTTCAAAGAAATGACGAACACGGTTCCCCTTTCAACGCATTGCAGCAAACTGGTTCCTCTTCCACTGGAGAGGTTCGTATTGTCTCTCTGTTTGCTCTTCATATTTAGTCCACGGCAACTTGTGCTTAGCAATCTTTCGCTTCTTTGCATTTATTCCAAGGTAGTCTCCAGCATTCTAAAAAAATACAATTGTATGAAAAGAACCATGTTACTAATTATAATTTGGCATGAAAATTACTTATACAAATTAGTGGTTTAATTTCCTAAAGGTACTCTATAAGTGAAAGAACTAAATACCTTGAGGCAGAGCCCTTCTTCGGTGTCACAAATGGGATAATCACTAGGACAGCAATACTCGGTGCCAGTACAGCAAACAGCATTTTCGTATTCACAGCAACCATATATGAGGCAGAAATCGAAAAATTCAAAAATGCAGCAGCATGTCTCGTCTGCAGGACAGTAGGAGAAGTCTCCACATTCACTAGGTGATGGAGAGGGAGGTGATGGGGGTGGGGGTGGCGGTGGCGGTGATGGTGGCGGAGGAGGTGTCGGAGATGGATAAGGTGATGGCGAAGAGGATTCTTTGGTAGGATAAGAAGCCATGGCATTGATTGCACAGACCCCGTATGTTGCATCAGTGTTCCTTCTTATATATCCATATCCCTCCATTCCCCAATATGTGCCCCATGAGTTCTTTATAATCCAATAGTCCTCATCACCTTCAGAACCATAACCAACGATCAAAACAGCATGGTCTATGTCATTTGGATTATCCGAGCAACTGCCATCATAGATTCCCTGTATTTCCATACATTTTTTAGCATATTAACATTTGAATTTTTAATTCCTATGTATGAATGTGAAATGAAACAGTGATTAGACTTACACTGGTATACAGTTGAAAATCTATCGCGCTGCCATCCATACCAACACTAATAGGTTGGTTAATTACAGCACATAAGAGAGCACTTTCTTCTTCTGCTATGTCTGTATAGCCATCAATTGAGACAACTTTGGTTTCCTCCTAAGCAAACAGAACAAAGTTGATAAGAAACAGAAGAACAATGATAAATTTTAGCTAGAACAAAGTTGTGAATCCAATATCGGATGAATGTGAAACTATTAGTGACAACAGAGAGTTTAAATTAGACCTTGGAGATGCTACAAGTACCATCCACCCCCGTGTATGGATAATCAGCTTCTGTATCAATCCCACCATTGCTTACAACCCATTCAAAAGCATAGTCCATATATCCACCGTCACAACCCTCGTCAGTGGAATCACAATCTACAAGTTCTTGTTCCGAAAGGCTAATGAGCTCTCCGGTGACTAGGGCATTTATTCCTTCAATGGCTCCAGTTGTAGAGAATGCCCAGCAACTTCCTGTATACATCAACTAGAGGAATAAGCAAGAGATTACGAAAATAACATTAAACTGAACATACTTTGACTATTCTGCCAAAATAGGAAATAGGACCATTCAATTCAACTAGTAGCTACAATGGCACAATGTTTCCACTTCCCAATTCTTTTGTTTTTGACAAAGTTGAAGGAATGAAAATCATAGTTTTTGATCCGAAGATTATAATTTTAACAATTAAACTTTCTAAGTGGGGATTTGATTGTACAGTTAAAGATCACAAGGGATGATAGGCATCATATTTTTTTCCCTTCATCTCTATAATGTCATGTTATAAGAAAAACCAACAAATTTGATTTTTAAGCAGCCTATGGGTCGCGCGAAAAATGAGGATATTAGGCATACTATCTTGAATTGCTCACGGTTCATGGGCAGGGTTCTTCAAGAAGATTAACGAAGATTCTTTTGACAAATTGAGAACATTTTCTATTACTTGTTTCATTTTTCCTGACCAAGTAAGAACATTTGAAAGAAAAGGAAATTTGTTGAAATTGGCAAACAAGAGGTGGCAAAGGTTAGGGCTCAAGCCAAGATCATACTGATTGGTTTGGGCCAAATCTATCTGCACCAAACTATCTAAAATAATGAAGAAATTGGCATTTTGCTATAATCACAAGTAATTACAAATTGAGCAACTACTCTACTTAGTCTAGGATATTATTATGTAATTTACTAATTGAGGAAATATAGTACACCTATGGTGGATGAATTCAATTGATGTGCCAAGACCAGAGTGTATAGTATTCATGCCATAATGAATCATGTCAACCTTATTTTTTCTCCATTCCCCTGTTCCAAAGGCAGAGGACACACCCATATGGAAGAGCAATAAATCTACACAAAGCCCTCCTGAGGTTTGTTTGTTTGATTTTTCTTTTTCTTTTTTTTTTTTTTTTTATCTCGGAAAAAAACTCACATGACCTTTTGGTCCTTGTGGGGGATTCCATCCCTCGACCTTCTACAATTAGAAAAGACATTAGGCTACAACCTTCCAATTTTGTCCATAACAGGGATTATGGTAAGAGGTCACTCCAAATTTTATATGGTTATTCTAATATAAATACTGTTGCATTTGGGAACATCCAATTGACATTTCCAAATCCAAAGCTCTCAAATATAGCTTTAGTAGACTTAAATTTAAAATCTTAAATAAATAAATAAAAACTACATGATTTTTTAATGTTGAATGGATCTATAGTCTACAATATGATGCTAGGTGAAATAAAGAAACATACCACAACTTCCTTGGTCCTTAACACCAGTGACAATGCCATATTTCCTCCAATCCAAGGAAGAAGGTGCGTCGCACGACGCCGTCCTCGCCTTGCCCTGCACGTTCCTCCTCGATTGACCATCAAAACTCGTATTGTTTAATGGCTTCTTTATCTTTGAAGTGTAAACAGCTTTGAACTCCTCATTACTCAAATCAGCAAACTTGTTCAATCCCACCGTATGCCCCGAAGACGACATCTTCTTCGAGTTCTTCTCCAATATGTACTTCAAGTTGTTCTTGAAGTTGTGAAACCTCTTCTCTGCCTCTTGCACGTGCTTGTACACCTTTCCATGCTTTTGCTTCCATTGCTCAAAAAGCTCAGCAATTCTCTCTTCTGAAACAAGCTCTTTTGACTGATCCACTATGGAGAACTCACTTGGTAGACTTGAACTGAGGCATGATAATGAAGCCCAGATCAAGAAAACAAGAGCTAATTGGATTTTTTGGGTGCCCATTGTCCCAACTTGAGTGGCTAATGATCTATCATCTTCCTGTTTGATTTGTATATAAGGTTGAAACTCACAACCTACCAGTCAGCTCAAGAACTTCTATATTTCTTTTAACCCCTTCATTTTTTTTAGTTTTGCAAAACAATTATATATTTGATAAGTTAGTTAGTCAAGTAATGTTATACAAAAGTTTTATTTATTTATTTATTTTATTAATAGACAAGGGTGGTATTGAATTTTTTAGACTTTTTCATAATTTATTAATGGACAAGTGTAGTTCTTCGATCCCATATACATTGTACAATTATTAAAAAAAATACACAACGGTCCAAAAGATTTTTAAACATAACAATGTGGGTAATTGGGCTCTAATCTCTTCAATCCTAAAGAGCACCGAGTGGTATATTTAATTTCAAAATGGTAAAAAACTAACATTTTCTTGGTAGTTGTAAGATGATTAGTGGAGGTTAGTTAATCTTGTTATAAGGGTATTTTGGCAATTAGGATATAGCTAAGTATGGTTTATGTAAAAATGGTAAGAGATTAAAGGGTGGTTATCTGAAATGAGTACCCTTGTTTTCTGATGTACCAAAATATACTGGTGGATTTTGTGTGCCTACCAATCAGACTACATGACTTGTGAGTGGGAGTCAATTAGTCCGTCCACCAGCATCTAACAGTCAACATGAAATATGCAGATGGAGTTGATTTCTTGGACCATTAATATTGATGTTGGACTGGTTGCTCAATTTGAGTGAGAGAGAGTAGCTGGGCTCAGACTATGACAATATTATATTGAGCCCAGTCGGTCTTATTGTACTGTAGAGCATTGCTGATATTAAAACGACTTAAAAAATAAAAAAAGTTACCCCTAATTTTTCTAATGAAGAGTTTTTTAATTGAGATAAAATGAATGACAAGTTCGATCCTGAAGTTTTGAGTAAAATATTTGATCAAGATTTGAGATTAATAGAATGTTTGAAATTTTGGGTTTTTCACTTTTCCATAATAAATAAACAATATGAACATTCTACATATTTCAAATTTCAAAAAAAAAAAAGAAGAAAGAAAAAGGGGTTAGGGGGAAAAAAAAAAACGAAAGGTAAAATAAAAAAATTGATTTTGAAACAATTTACACATTACACACATCACTTGCATAATTTCATCTATGTATTTTAAATTATGCTAATCTATTGAACCCAAAATTGTTTATGCTCCAGACATTAGGATAGAGATTTTGTGGCCCAAAAATGATTGGATAATGCTCGGGTCCTCCCTTAGGAGGAATTCATCCTTTTACTTATATGGTTCAATATAAATTAAAAAATTAAAGATGGACATTACTCATTTTTTTTTTAAAAGTTAAACGTTTTCTTTCCTTTTCTTTCTTTCTTTCTTTCTTTGTTTTTCTTTTTTGTTTTCCTTCTTGATCAAGATGGTTTACCTCTCTTTCCCTTAACAAAACAAATCTATCTCTCCCCCTATCGTCACAAGCATAATTACACAAATATTTATAGTCAATTATTAAGTAATTGTTTTGCCACTACAAAGTAAACTTGAACCTTATTCCTTTAAAAACTAGAAACAAATAAGAATTGAATCTGAAGTATCCCCTCAATCAGTAACCACCTATTTTTTTTAACTGATATGGAATTGATCAAAACTTTTATTATTAAAACAAAGCAAAGAGATTTTCTTACTGATTTTCATTGAATAATCAAGTACATAAATCTAGCAATTAAAAAAAAAATGGAAAAAGACCGTTATACAACCATACTTGGGTAAAAAAGAATTCGTTTTGCTGTGTACAGAGAGGGGGTGAAGAGAGGTAAATGATAGTGATGAAGAAGGAAAGGAAGAAAAAAAAACATAGAAGAAGAAAAAAGAAAAAAGAAGAGGGGTTTAACTCGTAAGAAATAATTTTTTTATTTTTTAAACATGTATTCTAATGATAAACTTCGTTCCCTAAAAAGAATGATAACCAAACTCACATAACATAATTTAAGAGTACTACATTATTAAAAAATCACTACTACACATCAATTACTTCTGTTAGGCGAGTGAAGGTTACACATGTCTATGTGAACATAAAAAACAATTAGTTGAAAACTTCAAACTTATGGTCAATTTTAATTAATATTGGCAGTGGTTTCCTGTACATATACATAGATAAATACATATACATAAGGTATATAATACTCCATACATATATATATATATATATACATATATATATATATATATGTATATATATATTACTGGTGGTCAACAGCACACGTTTCTCATCTAACAAATTTGCCACAAACCCATAAAGAAAATATGCTACTAAAATATCCAACGAGTTTAATTGATGGGCAACACTGACAAATCAGACTCTACTCTGAGTAAACTCTATACAGTAGTAGTACATGAATTTCCACGATGGCATTCCGAAACAATAACAATACTCAGAATGATTAAGCCTAGTGTCACCATTAAACAAAGCTAGCTCCGATCGACAAAGTCATCCACTTAATTAAGATATATATATATATATATATATATATATAATTTTTTTATTTATTTTCTTTGTCTTTATTCAAGTTTCTTCGACGTTAAGCCTCAATGCAAGACGGCTATTTTATATCATTTGTCAGCTTCAATTATATGGCTTCTGTTGGTTTCTTCGTTTCCTTTATTCTATCAGAACATAGATGTGTCTCTCTCACACACACAGAGGGCGGTTTGGGATAAGGATTTTAGAGTCAAGCTTATTCGGACACTCAGAGCTACTGGTCGTACACTGCACAGTACTGTTAGGCAGTGGCGGAACAACCCCCCCCCCCCCCCCAACCCAAATTTATTTTTTATTTTTTTTAAGTATACTTATATTTAGCCCAATACTTAAAAAAAAAAAAAAAAATAGTAGTAGTATTAGCCCCTCCTATCCAAAACAAGCATAATATCTTAACCATAATTTTAAAGAAAATGTCCAATCAAATAGGCTCAAGCCAAATAAGCCCTAAACAATTACTAAGCCAAAGTAAGAGAATTCCTGAATTCCTAATCTTGCACAAATCAGAAAGTTCACTCCTTCTCTCCTTCTAAAGTCTAACCCTATTTCTTTTAAAAAAATTCAACTCTTTAATCTTTCGATTCTCAATTCCCCAATTGTTTAATATTAGCTCGCCCATTAACAATTCTTGAATTCACCGTTAGGTTGGAGATCCATTATACCATTTGCTTTATTTTTTATTATTTATTATTTATTTATTTATATATTTTTTGTAAAATGTCCAGCTTGAAGACTTCAACATTCAAACGTCCCTAATATTAGTCTATTAGACATGGTAAGATAATATGTTGGTTATTCATTTTAAAATTTGGATCATCGACTCCCAATCTATTTTAAAAATTTTAAAAAGTGATCACATTACTCCAATATTCATACCCAACCAATTAACTCTACTTATTATATTATTCTAAACATCCAAAGTGGGAATTAAAAAAGAAATTACAACATCTCGACATATTCATATTTTGTTATTAATATATTCTTATACTTCCGACTTGTATCCTTTGTTTATCTAGGTTAAAAAAAATCCTATGTTTATCTATTTTATTTTTTATATTTATATTGCCATTAACTTTTTTAATTAGAATATATAATGACTTGAAACTGATAAGAAAGTTATTACTTGTGGAAAATGATCTTCAAAATTTTTATAAAATTAAAAAAATATATATATATCTTATTCAATTATTTTGTAATCATTTTTTAACTTATATGGAAGGTCAAAAGAACTTTATGTCTATGATAATTGAGTCCCTACAGGGCTAAATTTTTAAACCCTTATTTTTTCCTACCGAGGGAAAAAAAGAAAAAAATTTATTCTGTTAAGTTATGCATCTGTTACATCGCATTCGCGACGGCAAATTCATGTACTAGTACTACTTTTATTATTTATATTTCAAGTTTTATAAAAACAAAATAGTTTGTTATGTACAAAAAAAACAAAAATTACAAAATTATTATACATTTTCATAATTTTGAGGATTTTTTTTTTTTAACAAAAACCTGATTAATAATGACGTTAAGTGCTTAATTTGATGTCAACACCATTATCTTTGCGTCTATCTTTTTGTTTTCTACAATTTTCTATCATAGTCATTTATCTTCATATATTAATTTTTTTAAAAAATTCTTTTTATTTAATCATCCGATGTTTTCTATTATATTATGCTTTGTCTTTAATTTATTTTCGAACTTATCTTTAGCTTAGTTAATTTAAGGCACGTTCTTCCACAAAACGTACTAATAGACTACTTTTTACAACAAAATACTCCATTAAAAAACAATTTTGGCACGTAAATTTTTTTAATTTTTTAAAAACTATTTAACACAACTACGAACAATACTTAATATATTTATAAAGTCTACCTCTTTATCCTAAATATACAAAATAAAAAAAATAAAAAAACTTAGTAGTTATATTTTTACGACATGAATGAATTATAACATCATCATTCTACACATAGTTTGGAAATCCACATCAATTCCTCTGACACAAATTCTCCTTCTCATTTAAAATTGGTTTGGCTGCTCAGCGTAAGACCTGCCTTCCTTTTTATCCAACCACCTCCCCGTCCGCCGGATAGCCAGCGATTCACCTCCCAAAGTGGTGGGTGAGGTTGAATCGCAGAGATCAGTGTAATTGCTACTCCTTCGGCCTGTTTGTGTGAATTGCTCATGTAGACCCAAAAATGGGCCTCGAGCACCTTTCACTTACTTTTGGGTTGGCCTTCAGTTTGGGCCTTTTTGTATTGGCTATTAGCCCACTCCACTTACCGTGACCCCTCTATATTCTTCTTCTCATATATATATATATATATATATATATTTTGTTTACGTACAAATATATTCAGACCCAATCACCCAATGGTTTAACTAGAAGAGTTTAGCCCACTAATTATTATATAATAGAAAACCATAGAATATAAGTTCAAAAGTACAAGAAAGTTACGATTAAATAACAATATTTAGACTTAATAGTTAACTTA